GCTTATGCGTTCCTTGGGGCTTGATCTACGTTTCAAGGTTGCTCGGGTCAATCTCATTGATACTCTTAGGGCTCAGTTTGTTCTTCGTAAGGTCCATGCTCTTGTCGGACGACGTCGTCCTCGGGTCAATGCTTCAGGGGGAGTAACTGTTGACCTAACCGTTCCTGCAAATGTTCCTGAAGAAGGTCTGAGTCTTGCTGATCTGGTAGATAGAATTCTCGAAGAAGAAGAAGGAGCTGAGGAGGGACCAGAAGAAGAAGGAGCAGTTGAGGCTATGTCTGATATCTCAGACTATGTGTCCTCTCCTGACTATCCGTTTTGAAGAAGTCGTGGGGATGCCTGCCTTAGGGGAAGTACCTTAGGCAGTGGGATGAGTCTTGGGATGCTTGTCTTAGGGGGAGTACCTTAGTTAGCTAAGTAAGGAAGTCTTTTTGTTGAAGTCAAGTATGTCTGAATAAAGCTCGGGTGTTCTGAGCTACTGCGTAGTATTTTCTTGTGAGACTCTGTCTAAGAAGTCTCGTGTCTTTTCAATTTTTAGTTTTGTGTCACCAGTGTGTACCTGTCTGCTATTTGGAATAAAGCTACTCTCCTTAGTGTCATAAGTAACCTTCAGACTGGTTTACTTCTTTTATGTTTGGAGCAGACTGCACGTAATGAGTGTGCTAGTGTGTGCAGGAACGTCTAGAGCAACAGGATTGGAATCATTGACAAGCTGAGGGGGAGAATGTTGAGGGCAGCTTGTCAAAAGAATAGGAGCTGATTATGCAAGATAAAAGTGGAGATGATATTCGGCAAGCAAAACTAGGAAGCTTTTCAAAAGACTTACCATATCAAGATCAACAAGGAATGGAAACTCTGGTGCAACGGCTACTGGCGGATTGAGTATAAGAGAGAAGGGAATTACAAGGATCGAGCACTTTTCTGGAGATCAATTTCACGAGAGAACAAAGGAGTTTGTTAAGGTGTGATTGATAAGAAAAGAGCTCGAGTACAGTACTGGAGAGTGGGTGTGCTTGAGGGAAGCTGGATAGCTTGAGAGTGTGTGAATTAGAATATGATCAGTCTACCTGGATAGGAAGAGCGATCTCGATCTCTCTGTTTCGGAGCTAAACAAACAATATCCTAGTGAATTGTCGGAAATCACAAAACGTGATTATCCGTCCGTGGAGTAGTCAGTATTGGGAACATCTTTAACCCAATACTGGAAACCACGTAAAAGGTTCTGTGTTCTTCGTTTCTGCAATTTTCTGTTTGAAGCTTTACAGTTCTTGTGATCTGCAGAATTGAGAAGGATTCCAGGTACAGGGGAACGATTAACACGGCCGAGTCAACCACGGTTCAACCCTTAAACAAAACGCATCACTTTGTCAATCAAGGATCAATAGAGTAAGAAACCGAGTGGGCTTGAGGGTCAGGCCCATCATAGTTCATTGTTTTATTAACTAACAAAAGATAGAGTTTGTCCAATTTGGTCTCTGGTTCTATTATCTTCCTTTCGTTCTTCACCTGTTCTACCAAAAGTTCGAGTTAGGGTTTCAGGTCAAGAAAGAACGAAGACCATCTGCCGCGTAGGCATCTCGCGCTCGACGCCAACACGAAGCACTTCTATTATCGTTTAAAGTATTGGTGATTTAAGTTACAACTTGAAGTAGTATCATAATGTTATAGGAACAGTTCAGGTTGTACCATAAGAGAATTTGTACATCTAAGTTAAGTTGTACCATAACATAAATGCACAAGTTCATGTTGTACCATAAAAGAATTTATACAAAAGAGTATAGGTACAACCTTAAGTTGTACCATAACGTAAATGTACCACTTGAAATTGTACCATGAAAACAAAAAACTAAAACACTAATTAATAATTTAAAGCATTCTAAATTTCCTTATTGGTTAGTTCTGATGTCCAAATCAATATTGTAGACGAATACAGCAAAAATCATATTGAATTGTGTTATATTGACGTATAAACTGTCAAGAACCAGTTGGTACCCGTTGATATCTAAACTGTTAAGTTGTTGGAATCAACAGGTTATTGACATGGTATCAAAGCTTTCTGTGACGGAAAGATCTCTTGTAAATGCGTTTAAAGGTAACAAAATGAGCAGGTTCACTTAATATACAAACACATATTATTAAGCTTTTGAAACAGAAGATCGTACATGGCTTTTTATTATATAATCCGGAGCAAGAACATTGTCGTTGGCATTTATGTAGAGGCGCAAGAACTAAATTGAGAGATGGAAGAACCAAACTGAGAGCGTTTCAATTGGCCACCGGATACTTGAAAACTGAATTGTGTTAGATAATGGTGGTGAAGGTGAAGTGCGATAAAGATGAGCTAAAAAAACACAACCGATCTAAATTACATTATGTAGTTTGGATGAATTAATTGTAAATATAGTATTTGCATAGTTAAATAATTTATTAATTGTTCATGTGTTGTTTTAGTTATTTTAGTGGTAATTGAATTAAAATATCTCGCTTGGTAGAATCACAAAATTGTTGTATTTGACAAAAACATAATGGTAAAACGAGTTATTTTGAAATAACATAGGTGTATGTGTATGAGTTATTTTATATTTGTAGTTAACTCACTGCCCAAATAACTCACACTTCAGTAAAATGCTGCCAAACGAGTTATTTGCGTCCTAATAACCCATTATGGGATTGTGTGGATGGAATAATTGTCAATATGGTATTTGTATAGTCAAATAACTCATTAATTATTCATGTGACATTTCAGTGTTATTTCAATGGTAATTAAATTCAAGTATCTCGTAGAACCATTAAAATGTGGTATTAAACATGTTGTATTGGGCAAAAACAGAAGGGTAAAACGAGTTATTTCGAAATAACACAGGGGTACGAGTTATTTCAAATAACTCACTTCAGTAAAATGCTGCCAAACGAGTTCATTATTGATGTGATCCTTCAAGGCGACCCGAAACCCCTATACTCTAAGCGGGAAGAATGATGCACCTCACCGGATCCTTGCTTTTAGGGGTGGGCAACGGGACGGGACGGGATACCCGTCCCGTTTTAAACCGGTACCCAGTCCCATTTGGAGACCAAAGTGCATCCCATATCCCAAACTCATATGGGAAACGGGTACCCATTACCCGTACGGGACGGATAACGGGTACCCATACTACCCATAAAATACCCAAAGTTTAAATGACATCACATTGCATATCTTAACAATAACATGCTCTTGCGGGGAATAATAAGAACACGATATGATCAAAAACATAAATTCAATCCCTGTATGCACAAACATTCATTTCAAAACATCCCAAAGGCAATTACATCCCAAAGACAAAGTGACAAACCCACTGCCATTTTCCCCACTGTATCTCCAAAACTTAGGGTGCTCCCAGCCTCCCACACTTTCCTCACTGCTACTTGTCCCCAGCATATGAAACCAAGATCTCACCTGCCAAAAATGAAAGCATATATTCTCATCAGGAGTCCAGGAGATCTGTTTGCATTTTGTCTCAATCAAAACACCCATCGGCCATGCAATTAAAGGGAAGATACAAAAATAAAAATTAATACCTTGTAGAGTGGAGCACCGATGCAGTGGAAGATACATGTGAGCAAGAAGAAGCGAGAAGAACGATACATCTGATGTTGAATGGCAGTGGGTATTAAATATTAATTAGTCTCAGTGCAGAAGCTGCTAGGGCTGCGTCGACTCTCACGGTCTCAGTGCAGTGGGTAAGGGCCGACCGGCCGAAAATTAGTCTTGAATTGGGCTGGGCCTGGGCTGAATTAAATTTAAATCTGTCTTTGTACTTTTAATGGGTACAACGGGTACCCATATTACCCAAACGGGTATTAGCGGGTAACCCATATTAGGACTGTACAATTCCAAGTCCCATCCGTTTAAAATATTACGGGTAATATGGGTACCCGTAACCCTTAAAAACGGGACGGGTACGGGTATACCCAAATACCCGTTTCCCGTTGCCCACCCCTACTTGCTTTATTTCCTTTCCCTTTTGGGCATATCATTGCTTTATTTCTTTTTCCTTTTGGTATTTGGATTCCTTATTTGATAGGAGAGGATTTTTAGCTTTAATTAAGGGTTGATACATTGTTTTGAAACCTCTATAAATAGCGGAGGAATTGCCTATGGGCTGCGACAGACTTTGATTAATTGAAAAACCCATTTGTTCATGGAGTGTTTGCTTGTGAATTTTGCTCTCGTCGTTGGTGGACTCCAATCGCGTTGAGTGTTGTCTCTGCATTAATCAAGTATCGCCCTTGATTGTGGTCGAGCTTTTACACTTATATTGTTCGAGCCTTCTCCCAAGTATGAGATTTGCCCTATCCTTTTATTTTCATGTTGTTGAGAGAAATTCAGAAAAAAATCTAAAAAGATTGTGACTGTGCGACTTTGATCAAAATAATCTAAACTTTCAAGAGTCTAGAGTCATATCAATTATAAAGATGGGTAAATGACACATTTGGTCACTGAGATTACTAAATCGTGTCATATTTAGTCACTAGAAAAATTTAATATCAATTTTGGTCACTCGAATTACTGACACAGGTCACATTTGGTCACTCTTCTGTAGCCTCTGTCCAACTCCGGTCACTCGAATTATTGAAAAATGTCATATTTAGTCACTCGTATTACTGAAACATGTCGCATTTAGTCACTCTCCCAAAAGTTTCCGTCCAACTACATTAATGGAGTTGGACGGAAACTGACGGGAGAGTGACTAAATTTGACCAGTTTCGATAATTCGAGTGACCAAAATTGATATTAATTTTTTCTAGTGACTAAACATGACACAATTTAATAATCTCAGTGACCAAATGTGTTATATATCAATTATAAGATATTTGCACCCAAATAACTCTTTCAATTTTCAAATACTCGAAACTTAAAGCTTTGGTAAAAGCATAGGTGAGATGAGAATAAAAATAATATGCTGTCACTGTATAGTTTTGGCTGCATCCTGACTTTTTTCGTCAAGGTTAAGCCAGAAGCCCAGAACTACTCAATTCGCTAACATAGTCGTTGCAAGTTGAAATTAATTAAAATCCCAGTACGCCTTTTGTCCGATAATGCCTTGGCTTCTAACACCACCACAATACAGGTACTCTCTTTATTCTATCTACCAAAATGGCTTTACACATTGCAAAATGATAATTAACAAAAGAATTGGTAGAGATACAAACACGGCAGAAGCATCAACGAATCCACCTCAATTTTTCCAAGTCAACCTATGCAAATAACACAGACTCCCACACACAAAACAGAGTCTTGCTTTCACATTCTATGGAACTCAATAATGAATAATGTCCTCACTGAAACTTTCTCCATCAAGCCAAAAGGGAGAGAAGCCCTTTACAAGGATCCCTATTTCCTCCATAGCTCCTGCATATCCCCGCTGTTCGCATAGTATTTGAGATTTGCAGATGGTCAAGGCGTCAAGGTTGTTTAGTACATTTTTCTCCAGGGGGGAATGTTGCTTCATGCGCGGAGATGCTCAATAAAGATTCTCAAGTCAGGGTTGTCCCAATGTCCCGTCTAAGGACAAGACGGCATCTGGGAGTCGTACTTACATGATTCATATATCGATCGGTGGTATTGCTTATCAATCAATGGGATGCTTATCGGCCTGGCGAGACGTGTAATGTGCAGAGAGGAGAAGCAGAGAAAGGAATGCACTTGCTACGAAGATGGCGTCAAACCACCGGTGATAGAAGTCAAACTGGATATCTCCACCTAGCACGTCGGTTATGATCATCCTGCCCAACACACAATATGAAGCATATTTTGGAGATTTCTCTAACAGGACGTAAAAAAGCAAAAAGATTGCAACTTGGGAGTAAATGGTAGGGCATCACATAGGCAAAATTACTCGTACCGGTATTCGGTGGCTAAGCTTTTCCTTATCAGCAGAATGGAAGAGAGGAAATACATCCCCATGATTTCAGACAGGAAAAGCACAACGTTGCTTGAGGACCCACTCCCAACTCTGGACACTGCAAAGAAAAACTGCACACAAGCCAGAAAGAGGTTTGAAAGTTAATCCACAAACATAATGATGGATACCTTGAAAGTAACAAGGAATCATTGAACAGCCATTTTCAGCTTTAACCGTTTCCAACGTTTCTACAGTATTCCTGGGGAAACTGCGGTTTACCATGCAAGAGTCCCCTATTTCTCACTGATCTGTAGGGTAGTCGGACTTAGAAGGACATTTCTCACACCTCTATTTATATATTCAACAGCCCTTACATGATGGAAATTAACATTCTATTTCTTCGCTTGTTATGGCAACAACTATAGTGCCAGTTTAGATAACCACTACCACCCTTTTCGTTTCCTCTTTGGTGCCTACCCGGGAAAAGAAAATAATAAGACGGCCACCCCAGTATTATGTACCCACCAAAACCCACTATCTACAAACTTTGATTCCAGAGATAAACTGAGACTCCCATATTCTCCCTTTCAAACATCAAAATGATTGGTTCCAATGGTAAATGCCATGACAGAGAGCAATGGAGATGGGAGGAGTACCTTCATCAAATTTGACAAGAATCCCCGAACTGATATCACTACCAACAATCCGATGAACATCAAAGAAATATACTGCAGCAACAAACATATTCCAATCAGGCGAAAGTTTTACTTTAGAGTTCCTGAGGACAGCTCATTCCAGTGAAGTCTCTAGTATTGGAGTAATTTGGGAAAATTGCAGGCCGACTATGTCTATAGAAGAGGAAAAATTACACACAAACATAAATCCAGAAGCACAAAGGGATCTAGAAAGTAGAGCTGCTACAAGACAGGTTTCGTAGCTTTTGAAGAAGTCTAGACCAGTCTTCCAGCCTTGTTGTTCAATAAGCAAAGCTTAAACAAAGTCACAATCATATCAATTTGCCAATTTTTTATTGGGTAAATGCCACATTTGGTCACTGAAATTACTAAATCGTGTCATATTTAGTCACTTGAAAATTTTCATATCAATTTTGGTCACTCGAATTACTGAAACAAGTCAAATTTAGTCACTCTCCCGTTAGTTTCCGTCCAACTCCATTCCATTAATGGAGTTGGACGGAAACTAACGGGAGAGTGGCTAAATGTGACATGTTTCATAATTCGAGTGACTAAATGTGACACGTTTCAGTAATTTGAGTGACCGGAGTTGGACGGATGCTAACAGGAGAGTGACTAAATGTGACCTGTTTCAGTAATTCGAGTGACCTAAATTAATATTTAATTTTTCTAGTGACTAAACATGACATAATTTAGTAATCTCAGTGACCTAATGTGGCATTTACCCATTTTTTATTATTTTTTTTTTTTTTCTGGAGAAACACCAATTTGCCAATCACAGTGAATATAAACTCCACAATAATATCCTAATTAACTCAGTAGCTCTTTAATGTTCTGGAATTTAAACTATTGAACTGATGTTTCACTATTTACACTGGATTAAGCATCCAAGAGAACACAAGAACAATAATAGTGTTTCAATCTGCAAAGTCGAAGTTGATAAAAGAACGACGAAGATAAACCAGCACCTAAATAAGCATGCCGAAAATCCATGTTAAGCATTATAACTGACCTGTGACAATAGTGCAGCATTGATTCCTATGTCAAAGAACTGTAAGGATATACTAATGGTCATTGTAACAGGATCGACAGATCCAGCCTGGCAAAAAACGACAAGAACTTAAGCAGAGGTTGAAGCATTTGCAACATATTTAGAAAGTGGATACACAGAACTATGACAGAGAGAAGAGTACCTCTTTGAATATAACACTTTGCAAAGACTGCCAGAAAATATACAAACTCCAATCAGTAACAATGACCATAATTTGAAGCAAAGAGTAGACACTAGAGTGACGACAACCAGAAATGCAGAGAATGTGAATCTCCTCCGACTATAAACAAAATCACAGCCATACCTTAATCATTTTATACACACAGTAGACTGAACATGCATAGCCAAGACAATTTTGCATGTGTCCCCTCCAAGTTCTAGAGAATGCAGCAGCTTCCTGAAAATAAATAATCACATTTCACAGATCTTTCTACAGCATACAGAAATGGAAAGATGCAATTACTATAATCATACAGAATACCAGAAAAGTTGCTACTTACAACCTACCAAATGCACCAAAAACTAATTAACCTTTCAGAAAAGTTGTGTACAAACGAGCAGATATAACAGTGCAAGGGCTATAATCACATAAAAAAGAGCCACCAGGGAAAAAAGAGGCACCCTACTAATCAACATAGATCATTCCTTTTCCTCAGTCCTGCAACTTGAATCAGCTCATTCTTCATGCACTGTCCAGGCTCAGTAAATAACCTCAAACAACCTTAAATGCACTAGTATCATTATTTGGACAGTACAAGCTGTCAATCATCCTGAACAGAAAAGGCTTTAAAGTTTAAATGACCCTATCCCATCCCATGGTGTCATTTACCTATTCTGCTTTCCTAGTTCAATTATAAAGACATCGATTGCTCAGTTCTGAGTTTCAAAATTAAACAGTCAGTATATTCACCTCACCATAAAATCACACATGCTAAAGTCACCTATTCTGTTTAAACATAATTCTCTTAAGACACTAAGAGTCTGGTGCCCAATAATCAGCACATGGTTTGCCTTTAGTCTAGACTCCAGGAATTGTGTCAGCAATAGAACATACATAAGCTACATCTTAAAATACACTTGATGATTTTCCTAACAAGGAAATATGACGCTGGACTCAATCTTTTACAGTCACCAAAGCCAAAACCGATAGGAACTGATCGATTTGGACCATTTGTACATTAGTGAGCAATTTTGCTTTTAATTTCGTTTACTGCTTGACTATATACTGTGATTAACTATACTGATGATTCTAAAACAGATATGCAAAGTGAAGTGTCATGAGCTGTAAATACATCAAGCAAGCCAAATTCAAGAAATTAAACCTTAGCTTGCCGCAGCTCATATATTTCCAGGAACAGCTGCTTTGAAAGCTCATCTAATGCTTGTACTTCTGCTTCCATGTTTTTAATATCTGGGTAAAAGAGAAACTTCAAATAAATGATTCAGGGCTGAAAAGAGAAATGCTTTTGGAGAATAAGGAAACCAAATGTGTAATGTGCAGCAGCATGTCACTGATGTTAGTCACATTCCTCAACAAAGTTGGTTTATTTCTTTTGAACAGTAAGAGATTGGGGAGAAAGCATGAATCAAAGGTAAAAATACAAACCACCTAAATGCCTTTTGCTAAATAACCAACCCACTGAGTTGCACGCCATGCATATCATCTAACACATGCGGAGACATAAAATATAACCACTTCCGCCAAGAAGAAACCAGGATGACGAATAACTGCCATTGCAGAAGTAAAAGGGAAATGACTCCCATGGAAAAGGATGGCTAGAATCTGTCTCCCTGGTCATACATTTCAGGACAAATATGCTGCTATTGAGAGGTAAGAAGGGTTCAAAGGTATGAACCTTGCTCTGTCTTATCATCTTGAACAGACCGTACAACTGTACCTAGCATCCGTTTAAAGAAAGATCTACCATTTAGCTTCTGCACCAAAAAAGCCAACCATGAGAAACTCACATATGTGAGGAACCATGTCGTATCAATACTTTATAGGTTATAAGAGCGAAATGTATAACTGATAACATTCACAGAAATAAAAATGGAACAGTGAGGCCCAGAGGGACCACAATAAAGGATATTACACAAGAATCACATCAATAACAGCCCCCACACCCTTTAAAAAAAATACGTATTCCTTTCTTTATCTCTTTTTCGAGCAGCAAATTCTTAGCTAATTAAGAGAGTAGCTTCTAATGGATTATCTTCCTTTCTTCTGTGGTTTTTTTCCTCCAATTGTTTTAGTTTCCTTTAGCTATTCCTGAAACTAATCATATTAGGGTAAGATGAATAACCGAAGTGATAAAGAAAGGTTAATACTTACCTCCTCAGATCCTTGTATGCGCTCCATCTCCATTTGAGCAAGAATAATTTTCTTTTTCTTAGTGATGCAAGTCTCAATAGAATGCATTAATTGTCTTTCTAACGCCTTGATCTCTGACTCCTCAATTTCTCTATCACATAAAAATTACAATTACTTGATCAAGGAGCAAATATATGTTTTTTGTAAAGATCTATTCAATCCAAGAGCAACCTCGGCAAACATTAAACAGCAATTGAATTTGCTTCATTGATATAAAGTAGCCAAAGGCCCTTGGGAATACTAAGCTTCATAATGTAGAACTAAATATCAACACACTCTTGAGCCAAGATGAGAGGAAATCGGTAATGGATAATGTTTTCATAGTCATGAAACCAGGAAGTTCTTCTGGAATTCAACCACATCAGTACCATCGACCAATCAATGGAACCCATTGTCAAGATCAACTATCACAAAGATAACTTCTCAATGGATTCACCAAACTCAAGACCTTTACATTTTTAAATCTTATAACCATCATTTTTGTTGGAAACATGAGATTCAGAGCAAGAATACCCATTATTTGCGTGAAGCTTGAAACCATATCAAACAATTGGCTTAGTTGATAAGCATAAAATTTGAACGAAAAGAAAGTAATTGCTCTCTTACCTAATAAAGAGAGATAAATAACTGTATGGTAAATTCACAGCTCCAAAACCAGACAAAACAGCCATGACAGTCACACCAATGACGCCGATTCTACTTACTAGCTGAGGCATCGTAAAAAATCCTGCAAATTAATTAAGGTACCATTAGAAGCAACAGTATGTGAAACAGAGAATCCATGATATTGATGTCTAAACCACCGCATCACAGAAACTAAACTTTAAGAATTCAGATCGGCGGAACAAAGAGGTACTATTGCAACATAGAAGCTTAGTAAAACCTTTATCAGGTGAAGGCATGGGGAAGTGAATGCCCATGCGCCAGAAAGCATACAGAAAGGCCAGAAGAAATAAGATGGCTCCAAGTGCGGCTCGCTCTTTTCTTACACCTACATAGAATATGAAGTTTTTAAGCCAACGATGCACAAGAAAGCAATTAGTAAATTATTCTGAAAGTAGAGACAATTGGTGTCAATGAGATTCAGGCCCTGGTTACTGAATCACATTCAATTTATGACATGCTCAACAGAGAGTGAAACTGTAAGGTTTTCACTCGTCACGTGAAGAAAGTATTGCCATAAGAGTATAGGAATGAATAGCTCGGCCTCTAAGATATCTCTTTCCTTCTGCACACCTATCCTATTCAGACCGATTTAAAAGAAAAATTAAGAAAAGGTATGACTTTATACAACTGTTTTTTATCAGCCTCTATTATATCTGAGACAGTGTAAAAACTAAAAAGGTATGATGTTAGACAACTACTTTTTATCAGCCTCCAATATATCTGAGGCAGTGTATAACGGAAAACATTGTAGCTAAGCATTCAACAAGAAGGATTTGATGATCCAGAAATTCACAGTGCCAATCGTATCATCCGGCAACATTCGTTTTGCCAAAAACAGTTCCTTAATAAACACTGTGTTTGTAAAGAAGCAGGACATGATTAACTAGATGAACAAAATTCAAGGCAAATGAATGTAGAATGTGCAAACCGAAAGTACATACCACTGTTGCAAAGCATCAAGTAGCAATGATAATATGGCAACAAGAAGACGAGCAACAGAATTAAACAGAAGAGATCCACTTTCCAGTTAATCCATCTCGTCCTACAAAAAGAAAACAGACAAGCAACTAATAAGTCGATGTGAGCAAGCCGAAGATAAGAAACCCACGCAGTGCATCCTTTGCCTTCCAATAATTAGCACCAACCTAGTTGTAAGAAAATGATGGTCCAAATTACAAATAAAAACATCAAGCAATAAGCACCACCAGTTACTGATTAATTTCTGTTATGTCCGCTAACTCAGACAGCTAAACTATAGATATAAGGGCAGCTTCTGAACCACGAAGCTCCGTGCTCAAGAGGGTACTAGATAGAACTCCCAACTCAATGAAAGAGAAGCAATGGCAATTGACCTCCATTTCCCGGAGAACGATTCCAAATGAACTACCGTCTCCAACTGCCACTTCTACTATTGAGTCACAGAATCATTTCACCTGAGTAGTGAGCCGAAGGAAGAAAACAGAAGAGGAGAAGAGATGCTGGAGGAACAATTACTCTTTGGAGAGGAAAGGGATGATCTCGTAGAGGACGAGCTGGAGAAGATTGCAGGAGAAGGCGAAGACGACGCTGAAAATGATCTGCACTAGAACTCTCTTCTCTTCATACTCTTTGTATAGCCTGCGGTTCAAGAACCACAGCCCTGCCCAGCCCAAGCCGCAGAGTGAGCCTACCACCAGCACCCCTTCGTATATCGCCATTCCCCATCCCATCTGTGGCAAAACCACCTCTCTCTCTATATCTCTCTCTCTCTCCACCGTCCTTCTCCGGATTCCAGCCTCCGCTGATCCACTGCGTTACGCAATGAGTCAGTCGAACGAACTCGTTTCGTGTTTTTTTGCTCTGGAGTTGAATTTTTCGTTAATTTTGCCCTAGTCTTTGTTTGTTACCCCGGGAAACTGGTTTGAGACCTCCAATTAGATCGGGGAAGGGTTTCTCTGCCTCTGATAATCTGATTTGATTTCCCTTTTTCTCACTCGTACAATCCAGTAGGGGTGGGCATTGGGGTCGAGTGGATTTTGACCAATAAATGCATCAATTCGCGTTTAAATGGATTGATAATTTTTAACCCACCAGTCGAGTTTTTTTTAGCTTGAGCTCGGCTCGTTTATTAATTTTTCAGCTCGAGCTCAGCTCGAACTCGAATTTTGATAATCCAGCTCGAGCTCGAGCTCGGCTTGAATAAAAATAATCTAGCTCGAGCTCGACTCGGTAGAGCTCGATAAATGCTCATTAACATAGCTTGTCAAGCTGAGTACAAGCTCGACTCAAGATGAGCTCGATTTAAAATCATTTTGCTGGAAAAATGTATAAACATAAGAATTTAAATGATAGAAAGAGCACTAGAAACTATAAATAACATCTAAATTTCATACACATCTGTATTAGAAGACAATGTTCATGTTTAAAAGAGTAATTCATCCTTCCACAAGCTCAAAACAAGGCAACTCGCGAGCTTAGCTCGACAAGCCACCGAATCAAGCTAGCTCGCGAGCTTATCAAGCTGAGCATGGTCTAGCTCAGGCTTGGCTCGTTAACTAACTAGTTGGCTCGCGAGCCGGCTTGTTAAATAACGAGTCGAGTGTCGAATGAGATTTTTCCGATTCGAACGCCGAGTTGCTCGCGAGCGGCTTGGCTCATTTGCAGCCCTACCCCACCCACCCACATTTAGTCTCGGGTTGGGTCGGGCGAATGGTGGATGATGCGGGTGCGTTTGTGGGTTCACCCAAATCACAATGTATATAATATAAAGGAGTCAACTTGACATGATAATAGGTGAAGAGAATCATCGAGGGAAACAAGAAGTTGAAATAGGGCGAAAAATGTCGAATTAGTTCTTAAATTGGATAGAAATTCTATTATGAAAGAGTTTTCTACAGATTGAGACGAGTATTAGGTGCAAGGAACTAAGGAAAATAATTCCACAAAGGAAACATCGGTGATTTAGGATTCTAGGCACAAGAATTAGAGGAAAAAGTAAAGGGAAGAAGAGGGGATCTCTATTTGGAAGGTTGGCTTTGAGGTTCAAACTCCAGGAGCAGTCCGAGTTTATATCTAACGTCTCCACTCTCCTCTCTCTAGCGCCAACGACTTTGATCTTTTTGCTGTTGGGTTGAGCGGGTCACCCGCACACTCACCCACAACCCACCCACCACCCGGCGGATGGCTCCCAGCGCAACCCGTCACCCACCCATAGACCCACCCACTTAACGAAATTCGGGTCAAATGCGGGTGGGTCGGCCCAAACCCGCGGATGATCCGCCCGCATGCCCAGCCCTACAATCTAGAGGTAATCGCCAGCGCTATACCAATAATAATACAATATATTTACTGAATGGCTAAATCTCGCCCTAACTTTACTATTATCGCCCTAATTTAAACTACAAAATTACTATATTAACCTTATTTAAACAAAAACTCTAAAATCCATTTTTTTAATCCGCTTATCTTCTTCCAACGAGAGCGCCCTCCAAACCACCTCTGCCGCCGAACCTGCACTTCGAACCACCTCCGTCGCCGAAAATCCTGAATTCCATAGTCCTTCTGCCGCCGACTGAGAGGGATCCAATCGACCCTCTTCTATCCTACTCCTGGACTCCGCCGCAAGAAATTCTACCCGAAAATCTCTACTAATTCTGTTGTGAAATTTGGGTAGAAGCTTTGGTTAGATATTCAGCGTATTGGGTTGATTTCCAACGATCAATTTGATGATGGGTTTGTATGTTTTCTATTTTGGATTATGGGTAAATAGGGTGCGAGATGTACAAAGAGAAAGAAGAGAGGCGTTGGGTGAACACCCAAGTGAAGAGCGACTTTTTTGGCGGTTGCGCCATTCGATTGACATGGTGGCGGCCGGCGGGTCAGGGTCGCCGGTGGGGAAATCCAAACCGTAGTTAATGTCGAATTTTTTGGACGGGTTTTTTTATAATAAATATTTTTAATAATAAAAAAATAGAAGGACAAATGGGTAATAGTAATTTGTAAGTTAGGGCGATTATCTTTAAACTAGGGCGACAATTAGCAACCCCCTATATTTAGGTCTATGGTAAAATCCTTCCAGTACCGCAATATAACTTGCACAATTCGGTTGACCGAAAGGTAACAATGGTTGACCTAATCGATAAATTTCGTTTTGTGACGTTCAACAACACGGTTGACCTTGTGCATCAAATGGTCGACCTCTTTGGCGAGCAAACAATACAAACGGTCGACCTCATTACCAAAACGGCTGACCTTATGCATTAAAAGGTCGACCTCTATTGCATTAACATATCAATATCAAACTCGGAATTATTTCCCCTAATAGTAGAAAAGGGCGACCAGTGAAGTACGTGGTTGACCGCTTACACACTGTATATGTATTGAATAAGGATTCCAACACTATAAAGGTAACCCTAACCTGTCTACCACTTAATTCGCCCTAATCTCGTCCTAAGTATTTATAAATAAGAATATATGTCACCTTCACCGCCACTCAAACACTGAATTCGGTTTCTTCTAGGGTTAGACTTTTGGTGAAGAAGAAGACTGTTGTTTGTTCTTCCTGTTCGGGTTCCACACGGTCGACCAAATAAAGGTCAGGTTAACCGAATTTATGTAACGATGTTGTCCTTGCTCTATTCTAATTTGCTCCGTCTAATTTGAAGCTTGATTTTATTTGCTTTCATCTTCTAGGGTTAGAGTTTTGGGGAAGAAGAAGAAGATCGTGGTGGTTGTTCTTGTACGTGTTCTACGCGGTTGACCACTTGTAGAGTAAGGTCGATCGATTTTGGGTAACGTCATCGTCTTTGCTATTTCGTAATTTGCTCCATTTGATTTGATGTTTTTGTTTGCTTGCTAAGAACATTCGTTCGGTCAATCTCACAATCAGGTTACCTCTGTTGAACAATTGCGACAACTGAACTTAGAGCACAAAACTCGGACTTTTGTTCCTTCGAGGCAAGGAAGATCGACCCCAATAGGTAGACCCAATTTTTATCATGATCGATCATATGGGTTAGGTTTGTTTCTTTGTTTGGTATTATTCTACTTGATAGGTCGATCGGAGAAGGTCAAAGGTTGACCTAAATGGATACGGTAGTTACGGCTTATGTCTTTAAGGTCAACCACATAATATTTCAGGTCGACCACGTCTATGTTGTTGGTCATTTGTACAAATTTGAAGTTGAATTTTGATTTGATTTTTTATTTAAATTGATTAGACGATGGCGCATGATGAGAAACAACAACACGATGAGGGTGAAATTATGAAAAGTGTTGATAGCCACATAAGAGCATATGGTAATGTGTCGAAAAGAATTCAATGACTATTAGAAGTCCATGCGTGATACACAGGAGCAGTTATCAATTCGATTGACAGATATCACTAGGATGATGCATGATGGTTTTGAGAGACTAGAAGGTACTATCAAAGAAATACGTGAAGAACTAATGGAGAAGGGACGAAGAGATGGTACCAAAAAGAAATATGAGTTAGATGAAGAGGAGGAGAAAGACCATAATGACTCTGCAAATCGCTACCAGAGCATAGACAATTTATTGAAAAGACTACAAGTATAAGGTGAAATTATATTCATATGTGAGTGAAGATATTAGTATGACTATCATTAGTGCTAATTTGTTTTGTTTATATGATTCACAAAGTGAAGCAACTTTTGGCAGCAATGGTTCCTCTCTTAAGAACAAGAAACCTCGATATGAAAGTGACTCGTACACCACTCCACAGAAGGATCATGTAGCAAGAAAATGATTATTTACTGCTGATGGCGACGTAGATGAATCTAATAGTCCTTAGGAAAAGCACGGAGTAAGTTTAAGTTACATATTGATCTATTAAATAGAGATTGTGTGTTTGTTTTCATACATTACTTCAATTTAACTCTGAGTTGTAGGTCATGAAAGTGGAGGGGCTAGAAGAATTTATGAAACATCTGCAAAATCCAGTAGAAGACTTGTTTTATGTTGTTATTAAAGAGAAGGCTGGAGACACGAAATGTGACAAGTAAGAGAAGTATTTATTTTTAAATAGTACATCTGGTCAACCATTCCAACAATTAGGTCGACCATTTTGGCTAAATAGGTCGACCGTTTTGTCCAAGTCACAATTGATATTTCTGTAATTTCGTTTTTGTTGCAGTTTGGTCGTAATTGACATTGTCCAAGAAAACTTACAACGAAAATATTTGAGTTCGGTCATTAGCAAGAGTAATTGGATTTGCTCATCTGTAAGTACTATACTTCTATGACTTTGGTATGAGTTGTGCACTATTTTTGTTATGACTTACAGGGAATTTGTTGTTAATTATTGAATTGTAGGTAGTGGATTTGTGTGCAATGGCACAAACAATGTCTGAAAAAAATGAGAATTGATAACGTCGTATTTGCACATGTTTGCACCCTCGTTTCTTGATAATTTTGGCTTGAGTTTTTGCTTTCTTGGACTATTTTACACTAGATTGTGTTCCTTTGTCACATTTCAGGTCCTATAATGTAAATTGAAGCATAGGCGCAAGTTTCAAATCAATCGGAGATCATTTGGCAATTCGGGAGAAGAAACACGAGCATGACCTGAGGAATAATGGATTTCTACCTCATATTATGGAAAATTTATCATGGAAGTTTGTTATGAAAAGAAAGAGGACGAGACTACGAGCGTCTGGGTTCAAACGCCGACTGATTCGGAGTCTGAACGAGGGAGAAACGAAGCATTGAACAGGAGCGGAGGAAGAATTACGGGCAGGAGAATTACGACCATATTTGCCCCTCCCATGCCCGTCTTTTCACTGCCGAGAGGAGCTTTGGGTGCGCTGAAACTTAACCAAAACGCGTGTTTTGGGCAAAATACGGGCATGGAAGAATTACGACTGTAATTCAGCCCGTAATTCGCCCAGAATCGGGTTTTTGAGGCAGATTCGAGCCAAAGAAGAGGGAGTCGACTTTTAGGAGCAAAAACAGAGTTTTAGAGAGAGAAAGTGCGAA